AAAAGTGGTTGCAGGAGGTGAGCTGGCTTCAAACAAATGATGAACGCACAGAGATGTGGTGCAGAATGTGCCGTGAAAATCCCACTCTGGCGGACAAAAACAGTGCCTTTATATGTACGCAAACACGCGATGCAACTTCTTATCTGGTGCACGACAGTGAATGCGCACGTGCGGACCACTTATGTGCACCACTGCTTATAAACTTTATTTTGGTAAAATGTAACTACATTAATTAGTTTAATTTTCTATATTTATTTTTCTTTATAATTCCAAGTGTTATTCCAACCCCCTCACCACATTGTACAGTCATGGAAATGCTCAGTATTCCACATTTACTGCTCCCTGAAGCCTGACATGATGCTGCAGTAGTCTCAGTCCTGACAGTTCATTGCTAGATAAGCCTTAGCACTGTTCTTGGCCACACAAGTACTAGAAACAACATCACATTTTCACAACAGCTGAAGTAGAAACACAAAATAGCTGAGATAATCAAGATAAAACACGATAAATATTTGAAGCAGCCAACAAAAAACCATAAAAATGCTGTTGTTTTTATATTTTGTACGGCTCTCTGTGGCCACATACAGCCCATTTTGATGTTAAGTGGGTCACCCCAGTGAAACAGTTCAGCTACACGTTTAATATCTGAGAAGTCTACATAGAAGAAAAGAAACATGCAAACACAACAATATTTCTCAGTTTTTTCACATGATAAAAAAACATGTTGCTGTAGTAAATGAAAGCAATCTCTCAGCATGACTCTTACGCTTAACCTGTAAGAAATAAATATGAGTTACGAGAACTTAATAAAATTCATCTGAAAGTCCAAAATTTATGCCTCCTTCACATTTTCCAAAGCTGTCCAGTGGGTCAGATTGGTGTATTTGCCAGGCCAATTCTGGCCCCCGGGCCTTATGTTTGACACCCCTGATCTACACATATGTATAAATAGTCTTTTGCTGAATGTAAAGTAACATCTTAACCCCTGACTTTCTCTCCTGCCCTCAAATGGGTAAAGACTGCTGTCGTGCCGATGTCTTATCCGAGAAGCGTGCAGATCAAATGGGATCTACAACGTGTGATGATAGTTCAGAGTGGGACAGTTAAGGCTGGCCTGCTTGAGCATTTTCCAACCATCTATTTCTCTTTTTCCTCTCTCTCTCTCATAACTTTAAATGCCTTCTCTTCCAAAGTTGAGATGAATGTGACCCTCCCTTCTCCCCTGTGAATTTTGAGCGTGCATGCTAAAGATGATTTTCTGAATCTTTCTGCCTTTTTTTTCTTTCTCTTCTTTCTGCTCCCTTTGTATTTCTTTTCTCTCTCTCTGTATTTTGTGTGTTCCCTCACCTAACCTCCCCTCCTTGTATTTTTCTTGCAGCGGGCGCATACATTATAAGGATATGTACAGTTTATTGCGAGTTATCTCCCCTCCTCTGGGCCTTGGCAAGAAGTGCCCACATAGGGTGGCCTGCAAGGTTTGGACCAAACCCCTAAAGCACAAACTTAAACGCAACCTGCTCGCCTTTAAGAGACTGGAATGAATGTTGCTCTCTATCACTCTTAAAACCAATTTGTTCTTACTTCAACTTTTTGATTTCCATTGGTTTGAGTTTTCTTTTTGGGTTTGCTTTAAGCTCATTTCACCATTTAACCATTTTTTTGGTGGGGGGGGTTCTGTTGTATATGCATTCTGACATGACAATGAGAATGTTTGGGACAATGCAGAAATGCACACACACACTCACTCTCTTGTACACACTCACACACACACACACACTGATACCAGTGTGTGAAGCATGAGGTGGTGCACTGCACTTGCTATTGTCTTCTGACTGAAAGCTGGGGAAAATTACACTGACATGTTTACTTTGAATTCAGGATTGTGTAAACATTAGACTTTAGACTCCAGTCAGCCATTGTGTTTTATTTCTGCTTGCTGTCTAATTTTGCCTGGGCAGAAAATGGTTGAGCAATGTGCATTGTTCTTGTTTGAGTTGGGGTTCGGGTGCGGGAGGCAGGGGTTATTACAGAGCCATACAAAGAGAGTTTGGTCTGAGCTTAACAGCCAGTGTTTTCCAGCCATGTGTCACAGGAAGTCAAACGTGTGCAGACATTGATTGTACTCACTGAAGCAGCTCATTCAGGTGACAGACACTAGTTAAACTAGCAAGTACGAGCTCTTGTTGCTAGCTGAAATGAAAAGCTGCT